GATGTGAAAGAGAACCTCTTTTGGATGCGATGACCACTGGAAAATGGCGCCTGAAACCAAGCGCCGAAGCCGAAGAAACCAAACAGAAGATCCGAGATGGAAGGAGACGCAGAAAAGCTGAAAAGCAAAACGCTGCTGCAGGTGAGGACGGGTGTGAAACTGCATGTGAAACAGCAGTGACATAGCATTCCACCTTTGCAGCATTCAGTCTTGCAGACATTCCATGCGCATCCCAGAGCGCTCTTTTGCCCAAAGAAAAAGGTGCCTCACTTCCCGCACGCCGCTGCCGGGATTTTGAATAAGTATTTATTGATTGAGGGATCATCCAGTTTAAAAACACGAATTTTGAGCATATTTTGTATTGCAAAGTCTAGAGAGAATGATAAAACAGTCAATGTCCAACTGCTGTTTATTATTCCCCAGGCCCCTGTGTGGTATTTGGGCTGGGCGCATGGAGTAACGACTTTTCCAAGGCTGGGGCTATTTGATTGTGTGGCCGGGGTCACATTGCCAGGCACGATCCACCGATTCCCCCATCCCTAAATGCTTCATGTCGTCCACCAACTGACTAACGTCCTCAATGGCCATGTCAGATACCAAAATTGGAGCATTTTTGCTGATGTCATAGAATTGGATGATGGGACATTTAACAGGAAAACCCTATATTTGATGGTAAGAACCATGGTTTCCGGTTAAGATTTTCCCTTAAACCAATCCAATGATGATGTCTATGTAAGGAATATGTAAGGGCAGATCCCCAGAAAATGTGGTTTGATATTTTAGAGAGACATCGAGCAGAGATATGTAGCCACAAAAAAACAAAAGTGGACGCGGAAGATATGGCTGAAAAATGTTAAATTTATTAGTATGGGAATGTATGCTCATGTTTTTATATGTTTATATATATATAATATATGTCAATGAATGGTTAGTAATTTAATATGAGTTAATATTTCTTAAAATCCCAGCCATATAATATATATAATCCCACCCATAGATATCCGACCATAATCCCAGCCATGGGACCCAGCCTGGTCCTGAGATTCTCACCCCGAGGTGACCTGAAAGATGCCATGGTCTGCAAGTCGCGCAGCTGGCGGCACGCCTTGGAAGTCTTTGCGGAGCTACGTGGGCGAGGCCGCGGCCGGGAGACTGGGAGACTGGCTGCCGACATTTGGACAGATAAAGGGCTGGGGATATGGGGTTGGGTCAATACCCAGCCCTGGAAAATCACCATTTTTAATGGGTAAGCCATCTATAAATGGTTAATAATGGATATATGGCTATGGGTCAATACCTATGAAAATACCAGCTATTTAGGGGGATGAACATCCATAAATCCCAGCTATTTTGATGTGAACTACAGGGGTACTATTGGTTTTGACACACTGGCATATGGATCATGAAGCTATTTAGAAGACCATGAAGAGGCCATGAAGAGGATAAAGTTTGACATCGAATTGATACTTGCTGGGTGCTCATGATTCATGTTGGACATGACCATGTCGAGTGCTGGGAGCTTTGGTGAAGACTGCTAGCAACGGCAGTGCCAAATCCATTGAACTCCGGTCTCAAAGCTGTTGTACCATGTTCTTTTCCAGGAATTGCGATCGCAGATGAACATGATCTAAACTTGAAGATCACATGGCCAGAATCACAAATTCATGTGATGGGGACGCAGTGTGACGCAGCCATTGCTGAGCCCCAAAAGGCGAAGCCAACATGCTGCAGTACATCTCCATTTGCTTCAGTGGTGCGGATAGTCAAAGGGTTTTTTTTCCTAGGCCGGTGGTGGTCAGGTATTTAAAAGGAACGTACAGTCTATAGATAGATAGATATATATATATATTTATTTATTATATATATATGTATTTATACATATAAAATCTTACAGATATAATTTGGTGTTCTTCCACTGTTTTTCTGAGCTTTTTTGTTACCACTGGTTTGAAGCCACAAATTTCACGATGGACCTTGGTGAGGTCCCAGGGCTGCCTGGGTAAACCGTTAGCTGCCTTGTACAGTCTGAAGGTGATGGACAGGAAGAGAGAGATGCACGAGGTTAATATAAGATGCTACATCGTGTTATATTTTTACGTACATAAACACACACATGTGTATATATAAATATATATATATATATGTAATGTATGTATCAATCATATGGTATTATAGGTGATGATTAGCTTTATATTATCCAAGCAGGACAGCGCCAGCTATCGCGTCCGAGGTACAGCTCGATGATCAGCGCCCTGGGCGAAGCTCAACAGTTGCAGCGAGCGCAGGAGTTGTACGAAGAGATGCAGCGGAAGCTGCTTGGGATTTCGGCCGGGTGTTATCCTTTGGTAAACTAACATAGCCATTGAAAATTAAATGGCATATTTATAGTGATGTACATGATTTACCCGTTAAACATGGTGATGTTCCATAGTTTTTTTTGTTTACTGGAGGGTCTACCCTCCCAAAATGATGGTTTTACTCCAAACAATGAGGGGTTTCGCTCGCCAAAATTCTAGGGTTATATAATCATTGGAATTGAATGAGGATTTGACCGACTCATATGTTCATATGGGGAGATATAATTGGGATATACACTCTGATAATCTAGCCATGGAAATCACAGGATCATTACCTTGAAATAACTACAGTAATTTCCCATGGCTCTGTGAAGTTACTAGTCGGTAGACAAATAGTTTTACTTTGGTTTATGTGCATATATTGACTGACACATATGTAGATAGATTCTTGGATAGGTTCTGTTTATATATGTCATATGTCAAGTATGAATCTCATGTTCATGCTTTAAAAGTTGGCAACCAGGCAGAGGAAGGGACGTTCACAAGCCAAGAGTACGCATGAATATGGTGCACTTTCCAATGATGATTGGGAGCCCCTGCCAGTTTTTGTCAGCAGGGGTATGTCCTATGATGCCCTCAGGTTTGGGATTCCCAAACCGGAGGCCTGGACGGGTTTCCCGACCGAGAATTCGAAAATTGTTCCCCTAGGCCTTGCTTCCTGTCGATGCTTGAATGAAAACATTGTATACTTATTTATATTGTGTGAACGGTTTAATGTTACATCGACAATACATCGACAATAGTAAAGGCCCCCCCTATTTTTTTTTTTAAGGGGGGGTCTGCTTTGCAATAGTAAATCGAAAATCTCAACTCTTCTCCAAGGCTTCTGTAAGGTTTTGACAAATCCTCTCTTTTCTGATAGGCTCTGATGGGATCTTCATTGGATTCTGATTGAGAACCTCTGTTTTCTGATAGGCTTTGGTGAGAATCACAATTTAAAACCATTCAACCACAATTAAAAACACTAAGGAAGAAGGGAAAAATCAGCTAGAGCCAGAAAGGTTGTTTTTTTATTGCAAGTGCTAATTCAAATTTTTAATTGCAAATGCAAGGGCCTGCAAGGGGGTACCCTTTGTGGACCTGTTTTTTGCATTTTTTTAAACGGATTTTAATTAAAAAAACAGTTTTTTTGAAAAGGTACAGTTTTTGATTTGGTAAAGCTTTGCTTTGTTTTTTGCTTTTGGAAAGCATGCAATCACAACTTAAAACCATTCAACCACAATTAAAAACACTAAGGAAGAAGGGAAAAAAATCAGCTAGAGCCAGAAAGGTTGTTTTTTTATTGCAAGTGCTAATTCAAATTTTTAATTGCAAATGCACGGGCCTGCAAGGGGGTACCCTTTGTGGACCTGTTTTTTGCATTTTTTTCAAAGGATTTTATTAAAGAAAACAGCTTTTTTGAAAAAGGTTAAGTTTTTGATTTGGTAAAGCTTTGCTTTGTTTTTTGCTTTTGAAACGCATGCAATCACAATTTAAAACCATTCAACCACAATTAAAAACACTAAGGAAGAAGGGAAAAAATACAGCTGAGCTGTAACTGGTTCTGAGTTTTTTTCCTGCATCCATACTAAATCTCAATTAGCCCTTGTACAATTTAGTATTGGAAAAATCTAATAATTTGGGAATTTTCTCAAAATTATTTCCAGCTATTGCGAATGCAGCACAATTATTGCAGATGCTCTGGACCAAGATTGATGTTTGTAATTTAAAATCAATAAGGCCTAATTTAAAATCAATAGGGGCTGAAAAATCAGATTCTGAAAATTATGTGTAGCTATTGCACGCGCTTTACTATTGTCCATCCAACATTACATTCTAGCATTTATATGCATGTATGTCTATATATATATGGTACGTGTATATGCATATAATATATATGTATATATATATGTATATATATATATGTGTGTGTGCGTGTGTGTGTGTGTGCACCTTCAGATGCTCAATGATGATTTTTATAATAATATATATATACACAATCATATATATATATATATATGTGACTCTGTGTGCAGTGTGTTTTGAATGCCCATATGCATATATGTAATTATTTTATACCAGCAATACCTAAGGGGTTCCAATTGGTTGTTGACAACAGTGGTTGCTAAGGGGTTCCCATTGGTCACCCCTTCAGATCGATTGCACATGGAAACGGAGATACATGGACACTCTGCCATAGAAACACTTGACACGCGTGCCATGGGCGTGTCATGTGCATGTCATGTGAATGTCATTTGAAGCCACATTGTGTCCCAATTGGGCCCTCTCAGGGAAAAGGGGTCGCCAATGGGAACGCCTTAAGACTTAAGATGTGTCAGTTTTGTGGCACACCTTGTTTTTACTCTGGGTGTTGACCCATGTCCAGACCATGGTCACCAAAAAAACGTTTCCAATTGGTGACTTGGTGACCTTTGTTAAGACGCTCCTATTGGAGCCTTCCTTTAGGTAGCTGGGTAGCTCTTGCACACACACATACATATTATTGCGCATGAAAGGTTCACCAATGATGTGCCCATTCAATGATCATAGATGTGTTGCTGAGTGCTGATTGGCTGATTGGCTGCTTCGATTCCTCGTGCCGGACTGCTCATCCACTCATAAGATTCACATAGATTCACCTTGTCCTCCGGTGCATCCTTTGCAAGGATGCAGCCCAGAAACTGTCCCGCCTCAACGCAGAGTTGCAGCAGCACTTGACGAACGAAGATTGGTCGAGTGCTTTGCTGCTTGGCGCTTGGTTGATGCTTGGGGTTGGCCATGGTTGGCCTAGAAGAATCGGAAAAAACAGAATTATATAATCATATGGTGAACATATATATTATATTGGATGATATTGACATTCACCATTGTGATTTTTTCAGTATATAAGCAACAGAGTATTTTGTTTGCTTTAAATGATATTCAATAATATATGACAGATTTTGTAGGTGAGGTGGAGGTGTCCCAAGTGATGACAGTGTCAGCAATACCCACTTAAGTAGGATTCCTTGACTGTCAGGGTTGATTCCGGTTTCTGTCGCGTTTTGTATTCTCGATGCACCAGTCTTAGATCCATGAGTTCCGCAGTGAAGGACACCTGCAGGACATCAGCCACTGTTATCCGAAAGTGGAAACACGCAAACAGATACATGTTCAACCCATGGTTTTCCGTGTGGAAGATGATCTGCAAATGGTCTTTGTTGTCGATATCAACCATGACCATATCTATGTTGTTTATTGGAGGGTACTTGGGTACCTCACCTGGATATTTTTGAGGTATGCAAAGATGAGGAACTCTTGCTCCAATAGCCCCATGAAATCATCATAGAATCCTCATGAGCCCGCGGCAACTGATGGTCATCCCACATGAATCCACTTTAGGCACCTTTGGAGACAGCTCCATGACGAGACGTGGCCGGACACCGCGATGGCTGGGAAGCTGGCGATGGCATGTGACCCTTGGCGTTATATGATTTATTTTTATATATAGTGTTTTTTTTTTTCCGGGGGGATGGTTATAGATTAATATCCACCAATCTAAACCATCCCCAATAGAACTTGTTAATCATAAACCATCCCCAATATTGTTTATGATTTCTAACTATCTATTTATGTTGATTTGGGGTTTACCATTTTTATTGGGGATTGATTCGGCCATTGGGTTTACCACATTGTCAATAGTCATCCTGGAGTGGATCGATGGATGTGTATGTGTGCTGCGGTCCACTGTCTAATCTAACATTGGAATTTGCTGACGTCTTCCCAAGAACGGATGTTTGAATACGAAGAAGTTGCTGCTATCCATGGCTAATAAACCTCATTTACTCATAATAATCATATAATCCCCATGACATGAGGTTTTTATCTATCATATAATCATAATTTAATATATCATTATGCAGAATTATATGATGCTTTATCTATCCCCCGTACATCTCAAACTTTGACCCAGAGCTGCCAGAGCCACATTTGGGTCCGACGAACCGTTCATTCGCAATATTGGCAACTACATCCCCATATATATATACATATATATATATTATATAATGCACATACGTATATACAGATACATCATGAGATCTAATTTGTTTGTGTTTTTATTTTTCTTGCACCTTCACCAACACAGCTTTGGTTTTGCCATGGTTTTGACATGTTTTGACCCATATCCATACCGTCCATGCCAGTGCTCCATGATCCAACCAGGCAAAGACAGGGCAGTGGCAGCAGCCATCCATCACTCGCACCTGTGCCGAGAGTGCCGTGGCTTGAATATGTTTCACCAAAAAAAAAATATAGGGAACCTGATTCCATTGAAATTCAGGCTTCCCTAGTTTCAAACGAGTCTTTTGTGAATAATGCTTGCACAAAAAAAATGTTGGTAGTTCATAATTATAGTTTGTGATGGTTGGGAGTATATCATATTATATCGTATCCAATTAGATTACGGCATCTCTAAATGCATTAGCATCCAAGTATTATCCAATCCGATTGCTATATTATATCCAGTTATTGCTTGCTGACTTTGTATGGCACACTGGGGCAACCTTCGTCCCTTCAGTTATATAAACATGGACCATTTTCGGCAAGAGTGGAGATGTATTGTTGTTTGAAATTGAAATACGGTCACAAAAGTTTCTAAGGTTCACCATGCACAATCATTTCGGTATGGATCAATGCTTATGGTGCTTATCTTTATTTATTTATCTATTTATTTATCTATTTATTAGCGTTCTTGTCACGATTGTATGTTCACATCAAATTTGGGGGATTATAACGTCCATTTGCCAGCTGTTTTTGAAGGAAAACACCAGGGTTGATGCCTGGCCCAGGCAAGCAATGGGAGCGTACCCTGGAGATGTTGCAGAAGATGAATCAAAGGGCCCTGCAGGCTGTGTTCCCACTTAGTGACTGGCTAGTACGAGTAGATACATCCCATTTATATATATATATATATGGGATACACGAATTGGTGACTTACTACCTTTTAGAACCACAGCTACCAATTCCGTACATCAGATCTTTTCAGCAGCTTGTGACAGAGGTATTGAACAGTAGTTCTAGTTTGATCTGATGTATCAAGAGACTACATGTTCCAAATTTTGGAGGTGTGACAAACTTCCTCAAAAACACCCATTTCCAAACCATCCATATTTCCCATTTTTCACGCAAAAATGATCTTACCCTCTGGTAATTTAACATAGCGAACTGGAAAATCCACCATTTTTAATGGGAAAATCCACTATTTCTATGGCCATGTTCCATAGCTATGTTAGTTTACCTAGTGGATTTACCCATTAGAAATGGTGATTTTCCATAGTTATGGGACAGTTTACCAGAGGGTGAGATCCAGTTCCAGATCCATGTCAGTCATCAAAGACAGGCAGATCCCCAGACCTACCACGCCGTGGTTATGGCCTGCGCGGGCGCGGGACGCTTTGAAGAGGCGGAGAAGGTGTTTCAAGCGCCGTGGCGGCGATCTGGATGGATCTGGAAGGGGGGTTTTTCTGGGGTTTAATGTGGCTTCAAACGGGTTTCGTAGGGTTTAGTAAGAATTTGATGGGATTTGATGGGATTTCATGGGATTCAGTGGGATTTATGGTAAAGTAATGGGGGTTGAAATGGATATGATTCACTATCCAGAGGTTAGGTGGGAGCGGATCGGAGCTAGAGGTATCCATATTCCCTGCTGAATGGGGAGCGAAGGAGCTACTAAGAGATTTTACCAACCATATGATCATTAGTTGTTATTTTGTGATCATAGTGTTTTTTTTTGGAGATTTATGGCCCGACTGATGTGAGCCTGTGGGGAGTTAACATGAGTTCATTATAGTTTATCTATGTTTATCTGAGCTGATTTGTAATTGGGATATGATTAGGATGCATATTCAACCATAGGACATGTGTTTTATTTCGGTATCCAACTTGTTGCCAACAAGTTGGGAATAATCAGGACACAATGGATATAATAGTTGGGAGATGCAAAACGTAATGCAAATATGATTTTAATTTTAATACATTTTGATATGTGTTGCTATTATTTATTGGGATATAATGAGCAACCATATGATATTCGGGCGTGACTGAACATGAGAGATTTAGTATATCAAAAATAGAGCTTGACCATCTGACAGTTCGGAACTTCGGGATTCCCCGGTGTGAGATGAGTCCCAGAATGTTCCCATAGCAATCCCACTGAACCAGGTCACGTTCCATGTCAATGGGCTGCCTCCCAATTCCCATGGGTGCGCACTTTATAGTTGCCTTTGAATCTGAACAACACGTATTCTCTGATCCCTAAGTATATCTAGTTGCTAATACAGTAATAGTAATAATAATAACGATAATAACATTATATATATATACAGTACTAATTATATATATATGTATGATATAATATATATATATATATATGATGATATCCCTAACTCCACTGGTTCGTCATATTCCAAACTAAACTGCCTAATTATTTGGGACATAATTGCCCCATTGCTTCGACCATCGGTCGGGACCTCGGGACCTCGGCGCTTGAGGACATGAAACGTCAGGGCCTCGAGCCGTTGCTTGCCCATCATTTTGGTAGGTCTAGTGATTTATAGTGATTTAATAGGATTTTATAGTGATTCAATGGGATATTAATGGGACTTACCCTCTGGCTATTTAACATAGCCATGGTATAGATGGCCCTAATCGAAATAGAGGTTTACCGTTCTTAAAAATGGTGATGTTCCATGGCGAACTGTTAAATAACCAGATGGTAATTGTTAGTAAAGCACAAGTAAGCCATGCGCACTAAAAACACATTTTTTTACAGTTGGTATAAACATGCATAAACTATCAACTTATGATGGGTGGTTTTGATTATTGATATTATTGATTTACTAACATTGCTTTCATTTTTGTCTATGATATGTCTATTGTTTTTTCTGTATATTTAGTGATTTACTGAAGCCAATCACATTGGTTTTATGGATTTTCTTATGATGGGATACCCTCCCATGGTTGGAACCCAACGGTGCACCCAGGAGATGGGCTACAGGCGCTGCCCGTGTATTGAGGTCTTGTTCAAAAAACATGGCAACATAACAAAAACATTGATAGATGATTATATACCCTCTGGTAAATAACATAGACCCTGAAAATCACCAATTTTTAATGGAAACTAGTCTTCCAACCCCTATCTGCCAGGGTCTATGTTAATTTACCAGAGGGTATCTATAGATTTTGGGTGTTGATCTATCTATAATAAATATAGATGATGATAGATGACCTGTGAATCGATTAAAGATGTGATATACGACATCCATATGATTTTTGGATGACGACATCATATCTGAAGAACGAATGATGATTTGCCATCTCCAGGAAGCTCCGGCCCCGACGTTCATTCGGTGAACTTCACCCTGGCGGCCTACGAGGCACCTGCGGGGTTTGAAGTCTGGAGATGTCTGGAGATGTTTCGGATGCATGATCAGCCATGTATCCATTCTCCATGTGCAATTGTTGAGATTTGGAGATCTCTAAGTGCATTTGAAGACTGGCTTGCGCTATGTTCATCCCATCCTTACCAGACCTGACTTTATGTAAACTTTATGTATCCCTGAAATTCACCATTGCAATTCCGAAATCATCAGGTATTGACAGTTCAGTTTCATCAACGTATTTGCATGTCACGGTTCTAAACACAGGTCATAGCATTTTGGCATGACGGAGCTAGAATATGGTAGAATATCATAGCACCAGTTTCGTGTTGCATGGCTATGCCCTCCCAACCACATCAGGAGTCGAGCAAAGCTGGAGAGTGGCAACGCGCTCTGCGAGTCTTTGACGAAATGGAGGGAAAGATCACTCCCAACGCTCAGACGTGCCCCGGCATCTCATGTTTGTCAATCGTGACTGTAGATGAATGGAAGAAAGAACTTTTAAAGATCCAGGCTGGGAAGTTTTAGTGTGTAAACCCTATTTAGTGTGTAAACCCTATATAAACATACCCAGGCAGCATAAATCAATGCTATAAACCATCTTTTTATGGTACAACCGTTGGCCTTGATTTCACCGGGATCAGGTACCGCTTGCTGATGTCCATTTGCACTTCTGCGGGCCAGTGGCAGCAAGCCTTGCGCGTTTTGAGGACTGGATCACATCCTGGCAGCAGTCTGCTGGGACTGGATGCCGCCATAGAAGAAGTAAATTGAGATCTTGTTCTCGATGTGGCTTCCCAAACACCAGTATACAACATTCATATTATATTATATTATATCATATATAACATCAATTAACATCAATTAACATCAATTAACATCAATTAACATCAATTAACATCAATTAACATCAATTAACATCAATTTTAACATCAATTAACATCAATTAACATCAATTAACATCAATTAACATCAATTAACATCAATTAACATCAATTAACATCAATTAACATCAATTAACATCAATCATCAATTAACATCAATTAACATCAATTAACATCAATTAACATCAATTAACATCAATTAACATCAATTAACATCAATTAACATCAATTAACATCAATTAACATCAATTAACATCAATTAACATCAATTAACATCAATTAACATCAATTAACATCAAAACATCAACATCAATTAACATCAATTAACATCAATTAACATCAATTAACATCAATTAACATCAATTAACATCAATTAACATCAATTAACATCAATTAACATCAATTAACATCAATTAACATCAATTAACATCAATTAACATCAATTAACAGCAATTAACATCAATTAACATCAATTAACATCAATTAACATCAATTAGCATCAATTAACATCAATTAACATCAATTAACATCAATTAACACCAATTAACATCAATTAACATCAATTAACATCAATTAAACATCAATTAACATCAATTAACATCAATTAACATCAATTAACATCAATTAACATCAATTAACATCAATTAACATCAATTAACATCAATTAACATCAATTAACATCAATTAACATGCAATTAACATCAATTAACATCAATTAACATCAATTAACATCAATTAACATCAATTAACATCAATTAACATCAATTAACATCAATTAACATCAATTAACATCAATTAACATCAATTAACATCAATTAACATCAATTAACATCAATTAACATCAATTAACATCAAGTAACATCAATTAACATCAATTAACATCAATTAACATCAATTAACATCAATTAACATCAATTAACCCAAAACTCCCCATGTTTTTTTTAGAGCTGGGACCATCATGGCAGGAGGAGCCCTTCTGTGCCGGTTCCCCGCGAGTTGAAGCGGGAGCAGTTGAGGGCGCTGGATGCAGGTGCGATGGCCATCGATGGCCATCGATGGCCATGATGCCACCAGATCTGCCAAATGACCTGCCTATTATATATATATATATATATATTATCCAGCTACTTCAAAGTGACCCTTTGATATATGGGCTCCCCAATTAGGTAACTTAACAAATTATACCTCAAAGGGTCACTTTGGAATAGCTGGTGAACATCAAAGGGGTCACATGTATATAACAAAAGGTCACTTAGGGATACTTAGTAATTAGTTGGGGTTACTTAGGGATACTTAGTAATTAGTTGGGGTTACCTCATGTTCATATTAGATGTGTCATTGCAACCCATATATCTTAAGCTTATACTTAGGGTGAAGATAAACAAATGAACATCTTAGCCTGTCCCATCCTCTCCAACACTTTTCACCCCCTCCCAACCGCACGGTGACGATTGTCAACGTTGCCAAGCACCACTTTGTGGTAGAGGCTTGCATGGGCAGCTGGTGGTCGCATATGGTGGTTGGGCTATGTAAATTATATGTCATGCATGATGTGATATATACCATGTATATTATATGATACAACATAGTGCATTCAACCATTCGCGATCACCATCCATCTCATATTAATTTTCCAATCTACGGAGCCATCTTACACACACATAGGCCGCCCACCTTTGTAGGACTTGACGTCCCAACTTCCTTGCTGTTGCCATCAGCGCGAATTGCTTCACTTTTCCTACCTAAGTTCCATAACCATCTAAGCACTGATACAACCAAAAACACGTGCGCAGCTTGTACTGGAAACACATGATTCACACACGCAAATTAAACGTGCAAGCAACTAGATCTTCATCCCCGTAGCACGACGTGTGCATAGGGGATAATTTGAAAGCTTGATCGAGGACGAGATGGTCAAGCCTTATTGTCCGAACAAAGCATACCTGCATACATACAGCTGACATATACACACAGATGAAAACCACTTGATAAACCAAGTAGCTTGTGTAGCTTTGGACGGAGTTTCCAGAGTAAAAGGTTTTGGGCAAGAGCTTCTACAGCAAGACCTCGCATTAAAATTACCCAATTCCATGAATGCGCAGTGCACACATGTAGCGCGATGTCACATATTATGCACGCACATAAAAATCATATAGCATGTGCATGTCACATCTCCCAGGTAAGGCACTGTTGAGAGCACTGTGGAACAAGTAGTTTGCAGATTGCAACTTTGACAAGCAAACGTCGGGTAGAATGATGCCATGTTTCAACGACACTGCTTCTCGAATTGCCACAGCATTGACAAACACTGCAGCACGCAACCTCACGCCAATGCACAGCACCAATGCGCAACGCCATTCCAACATGTACTGTAACATGCATACCAACCAGCCAAATAAATAAAATGTGCAATTGTATGCACTCTAGCCAAAACACTGAGCGTGGAGGTCATGAGGATGCTTATCCGCAATGGCCAGTGTAATGCCCATCAGCCATCGTGCCAAAATCACTGACTCCTCAACGTGGAAGGAGAAATGAGCTAAATATGTGTATGACACATCCTGCAGTATCACAGTTAACACACCCACCCACAAACACACACATGCAGGCAAACACATACACAAAAACAAAACTGAGGTAGGATCTGAACCGTTGAAGTATTTCTGGGCGATTGATGGATAGGAGTTGCGGCTCTTCAAGTGTGACCTGACAATCCATCCACCCCCATCAATGGTTGACATATTTAGTTCCAAACATTGCACACATTGTGTCTACATGCAGCCTAGGAGCAACTTGTAAAACAGCCCCCGGTTTCCTAGGTATATTCATGAATGTGTGACCCGACACCGATTTCACAATGAAACCCATAATACTTCATAAGTTGCAGCCAAAGACTCGGATCTTGTGGGATTTGCACAGCCGGGTGAACTGAGCATATGCATACTGCAATCGATCATCCACAGTCTCACCTACACGTGCTGTCAACTCAGTACGAACTTTAGCACACATGGCATCTATAAACAACATGCTGTATGCTACATGCAATAATAGCAATGTTTGGCTACTAGGCCTGGCCACACTTCATCGGTTTGAGATAGCTCCACAAGTGCCTTAAATAAAGGATGTCACATGCAGATCACTGTATCACATTTCTCACATGCATTCATAAAACATTTGGTATCATCAAAGTTTTTGTAAATCCCAACCAAAACACTGACGCCGCTGCATCTGGCACCAATGTCAGATCGAACACATGTAGGAAATCATAGGTCAAGACTTCAGTATGCCATCCCGGTAGTCTGACCCACGCATTCGCAGTACAAGTTGATTGTATGAATTCCGTTGTGTCCACCATCGTCGTTCTGTGAACTGCATTTGGACCAAAATGTGTAAACAACATAGGAGACCCTCTGATACGTGACGCATGGCAAGACCAACAACAATTCCGGGACAGCCATGATATACACATATGGTAGACTTTCACCAAATACTTCTCGTCTCCACGATGTGCCACCAATATGGCCCTGTAGCCATTAGCAATTTCCTTACCACCCAAATCCTTTCTCCTTGGGAGCTCTTCCGACCACGGTCCCCTTTCCAGATATCGCCCTGTCATCAACTCCACCAATGACCACACCATCCATGCGTCCATGGTATCTTGGGTTTCGTTGCATGATCTCGAGTTGTCCAGGGTGTAGGCGAGCAAACGAGTTTCCCAAATGGAACTATTTGTTGTCAAAAGTGATGCCCAACTGGTGACCATAAAACTTCTTCGTCGGTGACTCTCCGCGTCATCCCCATGCACAATGATGGGGATGCATTTACGTAGGTCTGTTTCCTTAGATATATTCTTGCCGTGAATTATACACCTTGAATTATGGTACTTCTCTATTGCATACAAGCATCAGGGTCACTCAATATGGGATGCTGTCTGAAAAAGTCAGTGCTCCGATAGTGGTCCCAGAACTTCAGTATGACCTAGGATAGCGGATAGCATGCATCATCATTGCATAAAGACAACCATGGTAGGGACACGGATCATCATCACACCTAGGCCTCCAACCCACTAATTAAGATCAGCAACATCATCATTCTCCCCGAGAAACCTCTGGCGAAAGAGCTTCATGTCGTAGTGGAAAATCGAACCAAACCTCAGAGCGGGTAGCATGGTCAACCTTTCTAGAATAGGATGCAATGCCACACATGTGTGCACATACATGCATGCTTCAGTGCATAGTTTAGCCATGAGTCACTTCACTTGGTAAGAACATGTGCCAGGAATCGATGTAGTGTTTCTTCTCTCGCGATGGATCTTCCAGTACAACATCAACCCTTAGTAGATAGGGCTGCCACAACTATTGGAAGAACATTTAACATATGCAGTTCATTTGCATGCATGCCATATATGTTTTGCATATGTATAGAGCTAAAGTACTCAAAGGGTGTAGGCAGCATCTGTCTCCATTCCTGCCTTTCAATCCAGCGCCAGAAATTTCGCTGAGCGTTCTTGTCATCATCCCGCTCCATGTGCATCAAGTCACGTAGATTATGCCTTGGAGGATAGGTATTATATACTAGTGATATATAGTGGGATTTGGCTCCATGCATATATATGGCCATACTATAGCACATCATGATCACATATGATAAGTTAAATGCAGATCCAGGAACGGGAGTAGTCTTCTGGGGAATCGTTTTCTCACGATACCAAGCATGGACACCAGGGTCTTGAGGCTGACCTAAACCATTTGGACATGGTCATTACCCTGTAGTATGGGAAAACACATCTGACAGGATTTGATGCATATACAGGGTTGTAGTCATGCAGCTAAGATTCTTTTCACCCGAGCTCCAAGAACTCTTCAACAAGGTCCATGGTTCGATTGGAACTATGAATATGCTAAATTCTCCCCCATGAAATATAGTAAAGGATGGGTTGCAAATCAATAGATTGATTGACACACACACACACACTGCATTTAGTGATCACAACATTAATACATTTTTGAGGAACCCTTGATAAAACAATACCCCGATTAGTCTATCCCAATAATTTTTGACTTTATGTTGTATATCCATTGAGGTTCCCCTCCCTTCAGAGCCACCACGATCACAAGACACCAAGTCGAACTGCTTGTGCAGGCTGGCTCAACCAAAGCATTGCAAAGACTCACTGCGAGGCGGCAGTTGGGCTTCACGTTTATTCCGGGCACAGGGTTGGTTTGTTCACCATAGCTGATAGGTTTCATGGCACAATCTGAAAGATCGTGTTCCCCAAAGATTGTAGCTGTCAGAATCTGACGCTATCCCCCGAAGGATTGCCAACCATTTCGGCTAGCTGTTCCTAAAAAGAAAGGACCAGACTTCTTTTGGTTGGGAACTTTTGACCAACGCCACCAATCACCCATCAATGAAATTAGCATACATCAACCAAGAATCAACCAGGTCAAAATAGTCTTGTCTCAACATATTTTGGGGTGTGGGTGGACATGGTCTAGTCGTCAAGGCGAGCTCATCCTCATGTCACCGAAAGGTGGTTCTCTATATGTTGTGGCTGCACAACACCAGAAGTTGGAAGATCAACATAACATAAATCATAATTGATAGTTATTGCCAATGACATACCATTAGTGCATGTATTTTTGTTTATAACAATGGTCTCAGGGTTAATGATGCCTTTCTCAATCTTCCTCATCAGAACCACCGAAAGAACTGCCGCTGTGATCAGGCTCTTTGTCCGCATCACCAGCTGGTGCCCTCTTCTTGGGACCCTTTGCTGCATTGATGCGACGCTTGGCATCACGCCAATCCACTTCAACTACATTTAACATGGGTTTCTTTACATCTAACCATTCACCTACCTCTTCGGGGATGATCTCAGACAAAGGCTTGTTTGCCATGTCGCTGGCTTCACCGAATAATTCCGGCAAAGTTGATACGTGTTGTCGAAGCACATTCACCTGAGTTGGTAACCGGCAACAACTTGGGTGTAAAGCATCCAAGGGTTACAATATGTTCTAAAAACCAAATTTATATGGTACCATGTTTTATCTCACTATGATTTGGGCTAGGGACAAGCTCATCGGAATTTCGCAGATTCATAGCTTCCATCTCTGCAATTGTGACAGGCAGGCCATTGACGCATTTCTTCAACCTTTGATGGGATGAATGTGCCAAATAGAATCAACTCGAAAAGAATGAAAACATCAAATGAACAGAATTTGGTTCAACATAATTATTTTGCAACTTGGTAGCTTCGAAACAAACTGCTTGAGGTCTGACGAAGCCGTCTGTTCCGCACTTCGTTCTTTCTTGCATTTCTTGCTCTTGATTGCCCCAGTCTTAAGATCCATCATGGGTTGACCCTCTAAACTATCGAACCCAGTCTTCAACTGCTTTGCAACCATCTCTTTCATGGACGCACTGCGGACTCGTCCGCCAACTTTGATCTCCGTCTCGCCTTTTGTGCCCGAGGAAGTTACTTCAGCAACTTCCTTGAGGACTTTGAACATTCGAGCAGCTTGATTGTTGGGGGCTTGTGGGTGTGGAACACCGGCCTGTCCTAAGATTTGAAATAAGCAAAGATCATATCATGATCCCAATTATGGCTCACCAGTGCTGGGTGTGCATGTTAATTTACAACCAACTTCGAAGCCAAGAGTCCCTTGGTGAGCTCAGCAATGAAAGCCTTCGACTCCTTGGATTTCCCGTAGAGCTTGTAGAGCTGCAGCTTGGTCACCTAGGGACCAGTTGGAGTGAACCGACTTAGAGTGTAATCATGGAGGACAAATTGTGTGATATCATTCACATGAATTCCCAATATAGCTTGGACACTGTGACATATTTGTCACTTCTCAATTGTTCACACCAACGGACATACTTCTCTTCAACAGTGATGGAGTCCAGTTTGCCATCGCTGAGCATCCATTGTTTCAACATAGTCCACCTAGGGGAGATCTATACTTATGTGGGTATGGGTTGTGCTGATGTTTTATTGTCTTTTATGGGTTCGTAATATGAACAAATAATCCATTGGTGGTACTAGTACCATGAAATTTGAAATTAGCCATGGATTTTTTCCCAACCCCCACCTTTCACCATCCGTTGACAAGCTAAACTTGGCTAACAGCGCTGGTTCACATGAACGTGTGATGGCACGACGTAAGGCACTACCCTCTGGTAAACTAACATAGCTATGGAAAATCACCATTTATAATGGGTAAATCAACTATAAATGGGCCATTTTCAATAGCTATGTTAGTTTACCAGAGGGTATATTGCCGCTTTCTCTCATCATAGGGCATCTGCTTGGGAGTCGCCATTTCACTGATGCTAGCCTTTTGCTGATCACTCAACTTCATAATCCGAGCTTTTTTCCCACGTACACTTGGATCCTAAAGGGGGTCATGGGTGATTATGTGTGACCATGTCGAGCTGCTATTATAGTTAACCCAATCCTAATCAATATTTTGGCACATTGGAAATGAAGCCTTTAGAAATAATACCCAACAATACCCAATAATATCCAACACATCGCAGTGAGTAATCCAGGCAGTCCTCAGATGCAACAGTGCCAGCAGGACTGCTGCTGGTCAGTGGGGGACTTGGAAGGTCCTCGAACAGGTCCAGGCTTGGCATCGTCCGGACACGTTCAATGGGAGGTGGTGGTGATGTCAACGTTGACGAAATCTGACGGCCACATGGGGTTCATCTTGGAGGTGTTTGTTTTTTTTTTTCCAATGTTTTTTTTGGGGATAGGTGTGGAAAACAAAAACTGATAAATTTTGCCAAATGAAAATGTGTGAGAAGGCCCACCACGGATAATGTATTGATCAAACCAGAGAACAACTTATAAGACTACTGCAGATTCATTCATGTGGTATCATATGATAGTTGTACCTGGCCTCATCGCAACTCTCGCCAGACAAGTCCTCATCATTTTCCTCATAAACTTCTTCATCAAACCTCAGCTTCTTCTTTTCTGGAGTGTGTCCAGTAGGGGCACCGTTGTGACCCCGCTTGGGGGCATCCAAGATTGCAAGTGTCTTTCGATTTTTGTTCACATTCCCACTCTGGTCACTGCTTGCTGTCGTTGAAGTATCACTTGCTGGACTTTTTATCTTGTTTTGGTCATTTTTCTTTGCAAGTGCTAGTGTGTTCATCTCTCCTGCATCCTTCTTCTTGTTGTCAGCTGTTGCCTCTGATGCCTTGGCAACAACTGGATGTGTTTCCTTCTTTGCTTTGTCTCCTCCAGTGGAGTCAGGTGCGACATGTGTGTCGTCTTTCTTCTCCTGCTTCGTGCCGCCCTCCTCCACATCACCTGTCTTACATTTCTTAGTTTTCTTTTCCTTCTTTTCCTTTTTCTCTTTCTTCTCCTTCTTATCTGTGATCGATCCTCCACAGCTGTTCGGTTCTGCAGATGCATTCTGGGCATCAGCCTTCTGACTGCTCTTGCTATCTTCTCCTTCCTTCTCAAAGGTCACATCCTTCTTGGATGCCTTTGCCTTCGTCTTTTCTGCATCCTTCTCACTGGTCTCATCCTTCTTGGATTCTCCTGCCTTCGTCTTCTCTGCATCCTTCTTCTCACTGGTCTTGTCCTTCTTGGATGTCTCTGAGGTCTTCTCTACATCCTTCTTGTCCTTCTTGGATGCTTCTGCCTTCGTTTTCTCTGCATCCTTCTCCTCACTCGTCTTGTCCTTCTTGGATGCTTCTGCCTTCGTCTTCTCTGCATCCTTCTTCTCACTGGTCTTGTCCTTCTTGGATGCCTCTGCTGTCTTCTCTGCATCCTTCTTCTCACTGGTCTTGTCCTTCTTCGATGCTTCTGCCTTCGTCTTCTCTGCATCCTTCTTCTCACTGGTCTTGTCCTTCTTGGATGCCTCGGAGGTCTTCTCTACATCCTTCTTGTCCTGCTTGGATGCCTTTGCCTTCGTCTTTTCTGCTTCCTTCTCACTGGTCTCATCCTTCTTGGATTCTCCTGCCTTCGTCTTCTCTGCATCCTTCTTCTCACTGGTCTTGTCCTTCTTGGATGCTTCTGCCTTCGACTTCTCTGCATCCTTCTTCTCACTGGTCTTGTCCTTCTTGGATGTCTCTGAGGTCTTCTCTACATCCTTCTTGTCCTTCTTGGATGCTTCTGCCTTCGTCTTCTCTGCATCCTTCTCCTCACTGGTCTTGTCCTTCTTGGATGCTTCTGCCTTCGTCTTCTCTGCATCCTTCTTCTCACTGGTCTTGTCCTTCTTGGATGCCTCTGCTGTCTTCTCTGCATCCTTCTTCTCACTGGTCTTGTCCTTCTTCGATGCTTCTGCCTTCGTCTTCTCTGCATCCTTCTTCTCACTGGTCTTGTCCTTCTTGGATGCTTCTGCCTTCGTCTTCTCTGCATCCTTCTTCTCACTGGTCTTGTCCTTCTTGGATGCTTCTGCCTTCGTCTTCTCTGCATCCTTCTTCTCACTGGTCTTGTCCTTCTTAGATGCCTCTGCTGTCTTCTCTGCATCCTTTGTGCCCTTCTTGGATGCCTCTGCTTTTGTCTTCTCTGCATCCTTCTTCTCACTGGTCTCATCCTTCTTGGATGTCTTTTCCTTCGTCTTCTCTGCATCCTTCTTCTCACTGGTCTCATCTTTCTTGGATGTCTTTACCTTCGTTTTCTCTACATCCTTCGTCTCACTAGTCTTATCCTTCTTGGATTCCTTCACCTTTGCCTTCTCTGCATCCATCATCTTCGTGGTCCCATCCTCCTTGGATGTTGTTGCCTTCATCTTCTCTACATTCTTCGTCCCAGTGGTCTCATTCTTCGTTGTGCTCCTAAGTTTCTCTTTTGGTCCTGTTGTCTTCACAAGGTCTGTGGAACTTGCTGCACCAGGACTTGGACCATCCCTTTCCTTTCTACTTTTTGACTGCTTCTCAACTTGGGCAGCCTTTGTCTTAGCCATCAGTCCTATGAGGGATTGGTGAGAACTGCCATAAGTAAGCTAGTGGGGTTTACTTATGTTCAAACTGGTATTGCCATGGTTAAAATCGTATTTGTGGAGGAAAATTTGAAGGATTATATAAGGTGAACATAGTTGAACATATTTTTGCAACTTTGGGTCCTCAAACGGCAACTGACAGAGTTCCACCAAAATGAAACTGACCCAATTTTGAGCACTAAATCGACACGCAACTGACACGCATCACCTTCGATATATGAAGTGACCCTTTTGATGTTTAAGTGACCTTTTTGATGTTTAAGTGACCCTTTGAACTATCTAAGTGACCCTTTTGATATATACAAGTGACCCTTTGAGGTATGGTCAAATTTCCAACTGACACGCGAATGACACGCATTGACACGCACTATTTGGCCATAAAAATAGAAAAAAACAAAACCATTTGAACCAGTCAATTTGCAGAGGCATTGGCAAATGGCCCCCCAGATCTCAGTTGGGTTGGTGCTGCTGGCAAGATGCTATGTTTTTTTTTACCCCAAAGCTTGTCATGTAGATCTGTGTCAACAACACAGGCCATATCGTATTGAACTCCGTATGGAGCTGAACATCTAATTGTAAGGATTTACCAGGCCAGCTAACATCTCTCAGGCTCATCATCGCTATCTTCGCATCGGCAGTCATGGCTCACCATGAGTAATGTGTTGTACTCCTGCCTGAGATGAACAGGCAGGGAAGTAGTAGGAACTATGGGTTGATATTTGATGATCCAACTATTGCAAATTTGATTTATGTGGGACCTCATATGCCTTAAACATGTTATGGTGACTCTCCTTCTGGGACCCCCACTCTGACAGATAGGCACGTAGTTGAGGAGCCCAACAGCTAAGACAAATTCGCTCTTGGGAGATGCGCATCAGGAACTCCAGCCATTGCTCACGGGTCATTTGGGAAGCTGGCATACTAAGAACACAAAACAAGCAATGAGCTGCTAATGGCTCCAATGTTGATATTTTGAACCCCCAACGATCGACAACCACTAGTTCAGCATTTCTTTTTGGGCACTTCCATTGGTCGAAATGTTGGATAACCCCTTTGATCAGCAATAATTCCCCCATCCTTTGGAATCAACCAAGCCCCCCTCAAGAATCCCAGACAATTGGCATTATAATATGCACCCCCAAAGTCAAACAATAACATACTTTTGAGGGTAACAGTGCCAGTGTACCCTGCCATTGCGTAGATTTTGATCACTCCGGAGATCGCCAGTGGCACTTGTCACGACCCAAAAGGAAATCGTCAAGACATCCCTGATCATCTTCATGAGGATCTTGAGGGGAAATTGAAATGTCCTGGCAAAGTCTAGCCAGGCAGGCAAACCAATGATGTTTTCCCGTGTGTTGGTAAATTAAAGGGCTAAGCCAGGGATATCATAATTCCATTGATGCCTTACCCCCATACAAAAACGTAATATTGCTTGGAATAGTGAATGCCATTGGACCCATCGACATTTTTTTTCAAATGATTATGTGAGAGTCATGGGGTTCCCAAACCACACACAAAAAAAATAATATAAACGATAACCCTTCTCCGGGGATGGTTCTGGTTCTCCAGTTGGATGGAAAAGGGCTGCAAGAGCTAGTCCAAATTGCAGTGGGTATTCCCCAGATCGTTTTAGTGACTTCGGCTTTCCGTTGACCTTCTTCTTGCCACTGCTGTCAACAGTGACGGTGACCAAAGCTTTCTTTCCATGGATCCTGCAAGGCGAGCATGACCAAACAGTGAAGCATAAACATCAGATGGAAGAGCGGCTACAGGGTTAAGGTTGGCTGCCAGGGATGTTATGTCCTGACACTAGTTGTCACTACATTGGACGAGGCCCCTAAGTGCCACGATATCCTGAATGCTACTGCTGTGGCAAGAGCGAGCACCTACACACAGAATTGCCCACTGGTCGACATGACCTGCTCCCTATGCGGGATTGAGGGGCACATGGAAGATCATCGAGTTTCAGAACACAACCGATGGACATCGGAAACCTTGTGGAACATGCATGTGCTCATCCACACCTGGATTCCCACCCTCATAGCCCAGTAATTAATCATAACCCATTCATTGTCGAAAGTGCCCACTCCTTTCCAGGGCAGCTTTGAGCATCTTCACATTCAGAGGCCGGTAGAGGGAGTGCAGGTTGCCCAGGGTCCCATACAACCTGACGTTCAGCTGGGCACACTATTTGCACACTAATTATATATAATATGCTAAGGGTTGTGGGTGGTAGCTCAACAGTTGATATGGCACATTGCCTACATATATAGTCTCCCCTCAAAAAAAGTATATTGGTAGGACTATTGCATGTAGGGTCCTTCACCCGATGGATTGGGTTTAAGCTGAGGCACACTGTTGGTTTCAACGTTGGAGATCCGAAGTCCCCCATGTTGAATGCCACCCTCCTGGGAATGGCTGGTAGGATAGATTATCTTTTAAAAGCCAATTGGTATCACCAATGCTACAACAAGACTTGCAACAACTTGGGTTGTACGCTACCATGTATGCCATAAGTCGCATGATTCCATGTTGAGTTCGCAGGCACTGGCCAAGAGGAAGCTATAGCATTCTGTCCTGCACCCAGCCCAATGGAGGAATTTGCGGACAGGTCGCCACATCCACATGACCTGGGCACATAACAGATTACCCATGGATTATTTTTTTAGCTGTCCAACTATGCTTTACATGTTTTATTCACACCTCAAACATATATTGATTATTTGCAATTGCTATAGATGGTTTCCCCTAAAAAGACGATATATTGAGACAAGGTACTGATGACTGCGGCTGTTCGATGAGAATCTTCACATTGCGCTTCACAGCATAGAACAATCTGAGTTGAGCGCATGTGTGGGGACATCAGATGTGGATATTGTGTTTGAAAGAATAGTCTCAAATATTTGACCCATCACTTCGAACATCGTAGATGTTGGTGAGTTTGATCATTCAGAAGAAAGACAAACTATTATAAATAATACAAATTTGTCAGCAAGAAACATATATATAAGTCGTAGAACCAAGATGTTGGCAAGTTCAACACATCGTTGGGAATTGCCACCAGGGTTGCTCCAAGAGCGGCCTGTCACCGCAGAGCAGAGAAACACCCAAGTTGCGCAAGGTGGTGCTACCATCAGTAGCCCCCCTGGGCGCGTGTTCCGTACCTAGGGAGGCTGTGCACATGCATAAGGTTTGCTCTACATTGGGTGAGATAAAGGGATATACTGCCTTAAGGAATACATATTCTAGACAAAGGGATACACATTCTACAAAGGGATTATATGTTACCCTTCATCACAACGGACATGACTGAGATACTGCAAGCAAGATGCAGCCATGAGGACCGTGACAAAGCCGACGGTGCGTAACAGATTGTGGTTTCCACTGTAAAGGACCTAACATCACGGTTGCATATGGTTCTTGAACCCGAACATGTGCATACGGGGAAACGCAGGGTTCAGCATATGATCAAAAAACAAGATGGATTTGTTGAAGGTGTTTTGGAATCCAATTGATTATCAAGTACTGTATACTGTAGATTGACTTTGGTGATCCATATCCCAATAGTGGTTGGATCGAACTAAGGTAGCTTAAAATATATGCATAGCCATCCATAGTTCAATACTAGTGGGATCAAATTAACATATGTATGCTAGTGGGATCGAATTATTTTACATATATTGAATGGGGTCACCCCTAGTTCAATACTGGTGGGATGGAATGTATAGTATATTGAATGGGGTCACCCATAGTTCAATACTAGTGGAATCGAATTAACATGAGTTAATATATATATCATATACTACGAGTACTAGTGAGATCTACATTGAATGGGGTCACCTATAGTTCAATACTGATGGTATCGGATTAACACAAAGATAATGGGCCAGGTCACTAATAGTTCAATACTAGTGGGATCGAATTAGGATATGCAAACATTGAATGGGGTCACCCATAGCTCAATACTGGCAGGCTCGAATCTATAGTATATTATACATTGAAAATGGTCACCAACAGCCATATCCCAGCATGTTTCCAGGGCACGTCAAATTCCTTTCCTTGGAATCCGCTCATCCTCAGGCCCTTTGACAGAGCCGCTTTTCCACTGCAGATCTCTACCTGAGGAGTCGGCTGGTGAAGGGGCGTGGAAAGTTGGATTGGTGGAATGATAAATCTTGAAACAAAATCCTGAAGCCTATAGGTCTCCACAATTGGTTAACCCAATCGATCAACTTAGAGTTTTCTACTGGCCACATATGCAATATATGCAAGCATGGTACGAAATCATTTGGAACTTCAGGCAACGGCATTTGGCCCAGCAAGAGCAGGATTGGAAGAAGGTTCCGTGCCCTCATGTTTCACCCAGGTGCCAAAAAGCAAAGGGTTTGGTCTACAGTCTACGGAAATTTGAGCCACCACCTCACAGATGTGGTTTTTTCTTCCAAGAAACCATTTGATCTCAAAGTGATTTCCACTGGTGTGCACGTGCTGAAATAGGTCTTACTGCCATAGGCTACAAACAATGCAACCACTGCAGCCCAGCACTGTTTTTTTTTCATGAGCCCCACTACAGATTTGGGTCAAATGCTACGATGTATACCGACAGAATTGCCAGTTACCACCATTTGAAGATACTGCCATTCGAAAATGCAACATGGCACCACGCTTGGGAACTTAGAGAAATTTATGGGGAAACAGACAAGTGCACTTATATGTTAACTATCGCGGCTGCCATGTTGCAAAGCACCCAGCTGTGATTTCACATAGCCAGGTCCAACCCCTGAGAAAAACCTGTACTTCATGGGACCATGGGAGGCTTCATTCAACCAACACTTGAAAGATACTTTTTTGAAACATTTGTGTTGCTAATATATTGTAAGTTTGTCTTGGGTGGAGCACCAACAAAGTTACAGCCAGGACCCAATTTACTTCTTCTTCCTCATATTCCCAGCTTTCTTGCGACGGGTCGTTCGGCCATCATGTTCTGCACTAGCCTGGAACCCATTCTTACAAGCCTGGGTCAGGGAATAGTACTTTGTACCATCCGGACTGATGTAAACCTTATAGTTTTGTCCTTTCATTTTCCCACTCATGCGTCGTCTGGTCTCAATTTTCCAACCATCCTGCGCATCAGCTAACTCGATAACTTCGAATTTCCTTAGCTCTACTACAGATGTCTGATGAACAAACAACAATAAACAGAAACAACCCTGTGACTTATGGCATTTTGAATTGTTTGTGGACCATTGTTGCAGACCAAGGCTCATTGATTTGCCTTTTGTTTTTTTGAATTTATAAGTGCTAGCTGATCAGCAGGGCATGGAACTGGTGCATTTGCCACATCCAATGCTGTTTGTTGAACCCTTGCTATAGTAACCTTGAATGATGAGTATGCGAAGTCCTTCGCATCCACCACATCCACGAGCGACTTGTCAAGGTCCTAGCCATCGGAAGTAAAACCATATACCCCATATCCATCAATATCACACTATATCCCAGCCTCAGTTATCAGATAGCCTAGTGCTATAATTTTCAATATCATATATTGACATGTGTGGTTTCTCACCATTTGCATTCCACCCGTAAACACCAGGAGTTTCGATCCTTTGGAGCAGCTTTCTTCGGACCTTTCCCAGGCTTGGTCGGTTTGGTCTCCTCCTTGTCAGGGGTCAAGCTTCCTTGGCAAGCGGATGGGTTTGTGTGTTTATAACTTTGGCCTTCAAAGTGAACATGCTGGTATGTTCTCAAATAACGGGATGAGATGACCTTGAACAAAAGTTATTCAATTGAATCTATGCATACCATATACACTTGAAGTATCTTATTGTAGGAACAAACCCATGGCACGATCGCTAGAAATAGTTTGGTGGGAATGAACACTATGCCAACAAGAATCTGGCACTTTTGGTTCGATGACGATGCCTTGGGGCCTTTGGCGATTCACCTCCATCTTTCGATTTCTCTTCACCTTTCTTCAACTCATTCGCTTTCTTTTTCTTCTTTCCCTGTTGTTCATGTCGACCATTCTTTTCTTTCTCTGGTGGGTCCTCAGTCTTGTTGCCATCAGTTTCGGCATCAGTACGACAAGTGTTCTCCAACTTCAGTTGTTTTTGTATTTTGATTGCAGTAAGTCTCGCTTCCTGGCTTGAGAGGTTAGCTGGTATCTCAAACCTTGACCCTGGTGTGGTCCATCGTCTGATGTTCGTCTTTGGAAATTCTTCCCGAACACGAAACTCCCGGTCTCCAGCCTTCACCTCCAACTCAACATTCTTTTGGGCAGGGTTAGGCTTCATGTCTTTGGTGTCGTCTTCATCGGAACTGCTAGCGCCACTGCTGGTTGAGCTGGTAGTCGAGGAGGTAGAGCTCTTAGGTGAGCCACATTGGCTAGAGGAGCTGGCATTGGACTCTGCATCTTCTTCATCTGGTTTTTGTCTATTTTCCATCACCTTGTCAATGACCTGTTTGTCTGACATGCCCATGGTGCCAAAGCCAGCAGCTGCAGCACTGGGTCGGGCCAAGGGGCGAGCTTGTGTTTTCACCATCTCAGTGAATTCATTCTTTTTGCACTCATCCTCACTCATTTCATCTTGCCCTGAATCTTCTCCTTGTCCACTGTTGGCTTCGTCATCCATCTTATCCTTGTCTTCTTCCCCTCCATCACGCTCACCTTTCTCACTCTCATCCTCATCACTTTCTTCAGCCTTTGTGCTCCGGACCACATGATCTTCATCCTCACCTTCATCCTTGACCTCCTTGTCATCTTCACTTTCATGGTCTGAGTCATCTGCCTTCGACTCTTTCTCACTCTCATCCTCATCACTTTCTTCAGCCTTCATGTTCCTCATGTCTGGTGACCCACTTCCCTTCGTCTGGTCCACCTCGTCTTCATCCTCATCTTCATCCTTATTTTCTTCCTGGACCTTCTTCTCATCTTCACTTTCATCGTCTGAGTCATCTGCCTTTGACTCTTTCTCGATCTCATCCTCATCACTTTCTTCAGCCTTTGTGCTCCGGACCACCTGATCTTCATCCTCACCTTCATCCTTGACCTCCTTGTCATCTTCACTTTCATGGTCTGAGTCATCTGCCTTTGACTCTTTCTCGATCTCATCCTCATCACTTTCTTCAGCCTTCATGTTCCTCATGTCTGGTGACCCACTTCCCCTCGTCTGGTCCACCTCATCTTCATCGTCCTTGTCATCTTCACTTTCTTCATCGTCAGCCCCACCATTGTCTCCTTCTTCATCACTTCCAACTTGATCACTGGTCTCACTTTTGTCACCCTTCACCTCAGCAGCCTCCTGTGTGCATATTGGTTCATCCTCTGACATCTCACTTTCTTCTGCATTCACCATCTCCTTTCGTCACCACAGGGTCTTCATTCTCACCGTCCGCACTGTTGCGTGATGTTGCATCATCATTGTCCTCACTTTCAGCTTGGTCTTCTTCAACCTTCGCAGCTGAAACTTTGACAGTGTTTTCGTTCAACTCCTCACACTCTGTGTGGTCATCGTCTTCTTCTGGTGTATCACTTTCCTCAAGTGCTGAACTTTCCTTAGTGTCATCCTCTTCAGTGCTTTCCTCACATGAACTCGATGACCCATCTTCATCATCAGACTCTTCGGCTGCTGGTGCTTTTCGCTTGTGTCCTTTCTTTCCTTCCTGGTCTTCACTTTCATCCTGCAAGAGGGCAGGAGCGATGGATGAACATAGATTAAGGTTTCCCTAGGATATATGGCCTATTTCATATTTATTGCCAGATTCTTGGGTGCATATGACTAGATCTTAGGTCCATAAAATGAAAAACATGTCTTAAATTGTACCAGAGCTCATCAACATGAGTGGATGCAACCGACTTTCTCTCATCATCATCATCATCATCATCATCATCACTCGCGGGCTGGGCGGTGTTGGCAAAATCAATCTCATTGGAAATACCCTTTGATGATGATGTCGACCCACAATGCATCCTTGGAACCAAAACCAACATGCTAACTTCGTCAGGGGCATGGGTGTTAGTTAAAACAAGAGGCATTTGATCCATACTCAGGGTGTCAAAGTCCATAGGTTGGGTATCCACTTCATCGGGGTTCCTTGGATGAACATGCAACCATGTTAACTGCAATAAAAAAAATGTTGTGCTGAACATTTGGCACTATGTTTGTAGAATGGCTGACTTGCAATTCCCAGCCACACACTACTGGCTGACGATGAAGGTCTAAATGACATTTTTTTATGTCGCAGGATCACCTTGTGGCACCGATGGGCCTCATTTGTTCAGATTTGACGCTGGGAAAGGGTCATGACCAGTCAACGCATTGCTGGCATGACAAGTCAATATATTTAAAGCTATGGTACCTGTTCCACAATCCAGTCGTCACGTTCAGATTTCTTTCTGAACGGACCTAGGTTTGCAAATCATGATAGGGACAACTGACTTTGATGATCAGAGCGACTTAACATATATAATTTGAATGAACTATTTCATCACCCCTAATCAAGAATGGTTTAAAGTCAAGAAACACAGGTCATAGATAGTACTGATCTGTTGGATGACCTTTCGGACCTCACCTTCTCGAGGGACTCGGGGTAAGTTGGCAGCATTAAATGCGTTCCTCAACCATGCATTGCCACCAATCCTGATGTCACCCCCCGGGACAAACTCCTGATCCTCTTTGATGGTGCTTGGCATGTGTGCCTCCATTGCCTTTCGAAGTAACCTCAAGCATAGGACCATAAAGAACCGGACAGGGGATGATCTCTGAAGTATAGTAGAATTTAGATTTGGTCAAGAGACTGGCCCTCATCGGTGAGATTCTTCATGAATGTGCCAGCATCCGTCACTGGCTCATTTCCCATGGCGTCAACGCCCATATTTCAACTAAACGGTTTAATGCATGGTTCTATAAGTTTTTTGATATGGGATTCACTGATGACGAATATCCCACCACTTCATCATCACATCCCACCACTCATTCCCCTGAGCCGCAGGTGCTGCAACTTCAAGCGTGCGGGGCCTTCCCAACCCATCCAAAGTTCCACACAGCCTCCCATGGCCTAATTAACTTGACAATACATGATAATAAAAATACCTCAAAGGGTCACTTGGCCCACAAAGTGACCTCATTGAGGTCCCAAGTGCCCTTTTGAGTTATTTTGCTTAAGAGACTTCCATTGGAGGCCACTTTGAAGTGGCTGGATTGTATATATATATATATCCTATGTGCACTATGTATATAAAAGACCTCTACATATATAGATATAATCATATATATATATCCCGTAGTTTCACTAGCTAGATTTTCTAAGTCGACTTGAAGTCGACTTGGATCTTCAGCTAGTGTGACCTTTCAAC